TTCATTTTAAAGAGACAGCATGGCATGATCATAATTCGGACGTCGCTTAAATCTTATTTTCCTCTATGGTTAGCTAAAACTAAAACAAGTGAATTGGGAAAAGCAAATAATATTGTTGTTACATGCTGTTGATCGATCAGTTTACTGCAGGGAAATAATATAAATGATGTATTGTATGACATTTGAACATTTTAGCTTTATATTTGTTTTGACTGATACTGTAGCACATGTTGCATTTATGATGTATCTGTGTGGGTTTTTTTTCAAAAGCATAAATGTTGTTCTTGTAGTAAAATATTGTCTTTTTTCTTGTAGGGCAAACTTTTGAATATGATATCCATCATTTTTATTTGTTATCTCAATTCATATTTACCCAAACAAATCTCATACATGTGCCACGTTTGTAATCCATCTAACGATGTTTCTCTTTATATAAGCTGCATCAGGTTTCCGTTAGTTATGTTAATCTTTTCAAATTTAATCGAGTCGAAGACTACAAAAACATCAAGGTATGCATTTTTTTTCTAATTTACAACTGTAATCTGAGATAAATTTTGATTCTGGCAACAGCATCTACATTGAACTCAGTTATGGTAAGGAAGGGAGTGGGAAATGCGACCTTAGTACTTCCTCAATAAGTATTTCTTTTTAAAAATATCTGAACAAAGGAAGTGTATTCATGTAGGAGAGATAATATAGAAATCATTAATAATATCTACATGTAAGCCATACTCAGTAACAGTTACATTGTACATGTATGTGTCAGCTATGTGTCACGTAACTACTATAAAATTGAATTGTTAAACGGAGTGTAGATAACAATGCTAATGTAATGGCATAGGGAGTTTTTTTGAAGAAAAATGTTTATACACAATAAATGGGGTTTAAATCAATTATCTGAATGGAGCTGGTGCTTTTTGTGGTTTTTTTTTTTTTTATCGCAGAACACTTAATTTTGCCAAAATGCGTGCAATGGCCAAATATCCTACGCTGTTTAAATTCTGAAATGAATAAATATTACATTAGGCAGTTCCAAATCTGGTTCTATCAGTTTTAAAACATAAAAATTTAAGAAAAGAACATTTCTTATTTCAGCTTGAACATTATAATTTATGATCTTGCACTTTTGAGATTAGTTGGAAATACTATTATTTTTTTAACATTCTCTGTCGCTGCGCATTGATTATCTATACGATGGTTTGTAATAAATCTTTTGCTTTTAGTTTTCTTGATTAGATTTTTATCAAATTCATTTTTAATCAACCATTATTGTAGTTATTAAAAAAGCATCAACTCCTCGGAACCATCTGTTCTGGCTCAAATCAAAATGGAAGCTAACCTTGTATTATAAACGACGTCAATATACTACTCGGCGGTATTGTTATCGAATGATTAGATCGAATGAACGAGATTTTGTATGCTTTAATAAGTAATTGATATAATAAATATGTGGGACTCCAACGTCCGATGGTCACGCCAAAGTCCGATGGTCTGCGCCATTCCGCGATGGTTTAACACGCCAAACCCCGATGGTTCTAAAAAATTAACATTTATGACGTCATAGTTCTAATGCTTCAAACTACAATGCCGCACCATGCCATGGTTTTAATAATAAAAATATCAAAAAACTTATCATTATCCGAAAACTTACCCTTCTGGTTACGGCTTATCTCTTGAATATGTGCGAAACTCACCCTAATCGCGTGAAAAGTGTGATGGCCTAACAACTATATCTACTAGATATCCAGATATCTTGAATGGGTGCGATGCTAACCCGAATAACTCGACTAAAGTGTGCGAGGATTAATTCTAAATCAAAGCAATCAACAAGTCCATATCAACACTTATCAGCTATAATGCCTAGGTCACATTTCCCGGCCGGTAGCCGTAGACCGGTGGTAATCAGTGGTAATCGGTGGTAAAACGTGGTGTTAACGATGCTCCAACATCGGTCCACATCGGCCTAGTAGTCTTTAAAGTATCAGTCACATTATCCAGCGATGGGAATACGATTGGCAACCAATGCGTTTCAAGATATTCAAGTCATGTACTTATAAAGACGAAGTTATATCAACCCTAACAAAAATTTACTTACAGTTAAATATAGTGAATAGTTTGATTTACCTTGAAAATCGCGTTTTTCACTGACCAGAACAAGAAGCACACGCTGATGGTGACAAGTATGAAGGAGATACCCACTCCTCCATTGCGCCAGAGAAAATCTGTATATCGGTACGCAAAAAAGATACGCAATTTTGATAAATTAAGCTGTGGGAGCAAGTGGCGAAGTTCTATCTTGTCAACAGATTCAATCCACTGTATTTCACCAATGTGTCACCTTTACTGTACTGCAAAGTGCAGAAATAGATCTTTTTTATAGAATATGTTCTCATGACTAATGAGACCTTGACTGAATACAGTGACACCTGTCTAATCCGACATAAACTGGTAGACGAATTTTCTGTCGAAATTGACGGGAAGTCGGATTGCATGGTTTAATAAAGCAAGGAAAATAGTGAAATGAAAAGAAATTTAATGTCTAATTTCACAGTTGTGACGGAAAGTGCAGGAGTCAGATATGACAGGTTTCACAGTATTGGTATTATCATTCTTATTTTATTAATTGATAACAATATCGTTGAATTCTAAATAAACCAATAAACCAAGAAAACTTTTATTTTATTTTATTTTATTTAGCATGTTTGATAAAAACGTTCCTAAAGAAATCAGTTTTAAATTGCATCTAATCTATTCCATATGCACAAGCATATTTTTATTATACAAAACATTCAAAATTCTTACTTGTGATAGACTAAATTGCTACTAATTTGACTAAACTCTAGTTTGTCTATTTATCACCATTCTAGTTTTTGTAGATCTTCTGTATACCTCCATTGCCGCCTAATGTAATGGCTGATCACAATATACCTCAGTTTCTCTGCTTTACCATGATCACACTCTTTCGTAAATTTTACACTTTCATCTGTAAATTTTACACTTTAATCTGTAAAATTTTCACTTTAATCTCTAAAATTTACACTTTAATCTCTAAATCTTACACTTTTTTCTGTAAATTTTACACATTAATCTCTAAAATTTACACTTTAATCTGAAAAATTTGCACTTTAATCTGTAAAATTTACACTTTAATTTGTAAAATTTACATTTTCATCTGTAATCTGGGTCGAACTATGTATTTAGTACTAGAAATGGTGAGAGGAGAATGTTTCTGTTCCTGAGAAATATAGTTTAAAATAGTTGCTTTAGGTTTCAATCTTTCTCATAGTGTACTAGAAATGAAGATAGGATAAAGGATATGTTGTGAAGAAAGATAAAAAGATTGCAAGAGTGACTATTATGTACAAAACACATTTGATATCTAGTTTTACTTATTACAAACCAGTGAGCCTTTGCACAAAAGTTATTTATACTAAGCTAAAAATTTTCACAACATTGTAAGTTTTTGCCTAAAAAGATATTTATTTTCTTAAAAATTATTCATATTGTTTTTAAAGGACAATGTCTATTGGAGATGGGGCACAATCATACATTTTTAATTTTCAATCGGTGCCACTTCTAACTACACTAAAATGTCTTTACCCCCCCCCCCCTCCCGCCCCCGATTTCTACAGCCATGCAAACACGTATTTTCACAAATCTTTGAGGTTTTAAAACGTTACGGTGTTATTCATTTTTTTTTTAATTTTAATATACATATGCTGATGGTTTAAAATTAAACCATAAAAAACACACTTGTGTCCATTAGAGTCTTACATTTATTGATAAAAAAGAAATAAGGATGAAAGAGATCTCAGCTCATGTTTTACTGTACAGAGGCATTAAGCAAGCAATCAGAAGTATGCTGTTTCAATATCAAGTGTTTTTGTCCTTTCTTAAGATTCCTATGTATTGCTTCAGATCACTGAAAAATGTAAGGGCTTGCACTGGTATGTAGCTTGCGATATTGTCTCATCCCAGAAAAGCTAATGATTTTCATCACTTAGCCATAAAGAAATATGGCATGAAAAATGGAGATAACAAACAGCATTCAAGCTCAAAGTCCATTTTTGAACAATACAAATATGGACCAGAGCAAACACATAATTTAAAAAAAAACATTACAGTTGGGATCAGGTACAGATCTCGCTATTCACCCGCTGTTCCGTTGTATCCAGATAGTGTCACTATGTACATGTATTTATTGTCTTCATCTCCGATGTAAAATGTGGTGTACACAGCATAGGCCTGTTGCCCGGTATAACGCTCAACATCAACTCGGAGTTCTTGGTTTTTATCCTTCGTTAAGGTGTGGATTGCATCATTTCCTATAAATAAATATTAATTTCAAATCTACAGAAAAGAAAAATAATTTCAAATGCATAGATGAGCCTGCATGGTGTGCAAGCGCTACAGATTAAAGTTTAAGTTTTTTATTTTGAATTTGGATTTTGTTTCATCCCTATGTAATTTGATTCTGGTTGTAACGCTGTATTTGATTGGATAAAATTAATCAAATGAATGATAATTGAATTATATGGAATGAATTAAATAGCTACCCATTTTATACGGTATAAACTGGGTTGGAACAGTTTGCGCTTTCTTATAAACTGCTTCGCGTTCGGTTTATAAAGTGTAACTTGTCCAACTGACAAGCAATCCTTTATGGTTTTTTTAAAGCTTAGCTTTATTTGTTTAAATAGCCATATTTTTCTTCTAATAGCATCGAAAATGATACCGATGATGTCGAAAATCTTATCAAATTACTGCTGAAAGATAAATAAAGGTAATTGTGAATAATAACTGTTTTTTTAAAAGCCACTAAACTTATTATTTACGAAAACTATTTTGAAGTATGATAATTTGAAGTGTAAATGCAAAGAGTAAAATATTTAAGTATGTCTGTTACGTGAAAAGTAGAGGAGATACTTGAAAAGAGGTCATGTAACACTTTTCATACATGCATTCGTGCAATTAAAATCCATGACACTTGTTTTGAAGGAAAAAACACTTTGAAAAGCTAAACGTCATAAACTGCCCTCAAGATTCTCTTTTTACGTTGCATTTATCTATTTAACCTGCAATTTTCTATATGCTAAATCCAGTTCATTTCAGTATTGATGCTTGTACTTTGACATTTAAAACGGAAACAAGGTAAGAGAATTTGCGACTGGTAGTTCGAGCATTATGTGTATAATTGCTTAAAATAAGAGTACAGGTACAATTTTGAAATAAATAGCCATTTTATTCAAATAAAGTTTTTAATAAATTGCAGGATAAATTAGAAAAACATTTGCTTTATATTTTCTATAAATGTCTGAAATCGGTAAAATTTGAAAACAATCATCATGATCAGTTTTAACTGATTTTAGAATGATTGACCAGTAATGAATTCATAGTATTTTGGATTTTAAAAATTGTCATGTAAATCATAGCAAACCTCTTGCTGGCTTTTGTGAAAACAAAATCAGCAATATTTTCTTTTTCATAGAAAGATCATTTATTTTATCATTTTTATTTATTTGTATTTCTTCATGAACAGTCACTTCTTCATCAAAAATGAAAATAAAAAATACAATTATGTAGAATGGAAAAAATAACAAATATTCCTTAAAATTGAAACAAAAAACACTTTGGAATGTCGTTTTCTGGAACCCGTAAAATTTCTTTAATAGCATTATCTTAAAGGTGCTTTGAAGTTAATATTTTCTCAAAATTTCGGTATAATATCACGACTTATCACAAGTTTTCGTGGATGTTTGATTTTCGTTGTTTTCGTGGTTTGAAGAGAACCACGAATTCATGTCCACAACGAAATGTATAATGTTACATACGTAACTACTCAGCGATTCTTCATCCACGAAATCAAATCCCCACAAACCAAGAGTTTTTCTTCAAACCACGAAAATTTGACCCGACGAAAATATTTGATTTTACAGTATATATTGAAATAGATTTCACACGAAAATATACCAAAAATTCATATTTTATTTCGAAGTAATTGAAACTTCGAATTTCTGGACGGGTTTGGTTGACACATCCTTGCACTTTCACAAATTTTGATTTTATTCTTAATACTAAGAAAAGTGAAAAGTTTGTTGTGTATTAATTGAAAATATTTTAACTTTACTCCAGAAAATTCATCATAGAAATGTTCGAAAGCAAAACCCACTCACAGTATATTGTCAGTCCGAGCTCAGTGGTGTGAGCAGACTTTAACAATTGAACACACCCGGAGAATCGTAAATATTAACAATTACAGAGATTCTGCCCTATTTTCAAAAACAGTTTACGTTTTAAAAGTCTATTCAGTTTGTTAATTTCTGTACACAACACTGAGCACGGACTGACAATACTCGTGAGAGAGATTTGATTGCGAACATGTCTACTCTGAGTTTCCTGGATTATAGTTTTAATATTTTTCACTAATGCACAACAAAACTGTACTTTTATGAAGTATTAAGAATAACATTGAAGTTGGTGAAGGTTCAAGGATGTGTCAATTAAACCCGTCCAAAAATCTGAGTTTCAATAACTAAAATGAAATAAGATTTTTATCATATTTTCATGTGAAATTCTAAAACAATATGTAAGTCGTGATATTATACAAAAAATTCCAGAAAATATTAACTTCAAATCTGCGTCTTACCACCTCTAATGCAAAAAAGAAAAAAAAAGAGAAAAAGTCGCTAGGCCTTCTTTCCATCAAGACATGCTGATATTTTGTGTGACCGAACGGCAGGAGATGCCTCCTCCTCCATGGCACCTAATCCAACTTCTGATGTTTAAAGAGGTCCGTGTTTGTTCTGCCTCCGATTAGTAGTGTTTCTTTTGACCTTTGAGTTTGATTGATTGATTGATTGTATATTGTTTAACGTCCCTCTCGAGAATTTTTCACTCATATGGAGACGTCACCGTATGCCGGTGAAGGGTTTCAAATTTTGACCTTTACTCGGCACTCAGGGCCATTGAGCAGTGAGGGATCTTTATCGTGCCAACGCCTGCCGCTGACACGGGACCTCGGTTTTTAAGGTCTCATCCGAAGGACCCGCAAATTTCACTTCAATGTGCCGAGCGCATGACGAAGGAACAGTTACTACCCACTTTAACGACTAGGTCAGTCGCGGCCGAGATACGAACTCGCGACCTCCCGATCATGGAGCGAGCGCTCTACCGACTGAGCTACCGTGAACGGTTTTGAGTTTGATAAGTGTTCGTTACCTCCATATTTCACTTGTATAATTTGCTTAAAAATGGTTCCTAATTTTATTTAACCAGATGAAGTTGATGCATGTATTCATTCTGCTTGTGCTAGCTGTTGTGCTCGATGTTATCGAAGCACAGATGAATCAACGAAGGATAAGTGGAGGACCAAACGACCCTTGGTATTGTTGCCGAAAGACCGTGGATCGTTGCTTAGAATGGTGTAGATAATTAAGGTAATTACTGATAAGTATATACATATGTACGTTAGGAAGCATACTGAAGGGTACACACACTCGCACACACACACACACACACACACACACAGAGAGAGAGAGAGAGAGAGAGAGAGAGAGAGAGAGAGAGAGAGAGAGAGAGAGAGAGAGAGAGAGAGAGCTATGAATACATAATATCATATCCTCTAGTGCAATTAAGTTTAAATACTGAAGATATATAAAAATTGATACACGCAACTATTAAATTTTATTAAAATAATCCAATTGTTTTAATAACATTATATAAAAATGTGTTTATAACAACGATGTGTAAAATAACAGGAGGCCCAGGGACCACAATGCTCACCTGAGTAACTTTCGCAATGCTGTTTCTCATGAAATTTTTCCCCTTGTGATACCTATTTTGGCCCCGCCCTACCCTGGGGGGGGGGTCAGGATTTGAACAATTTAGAATCTTCATTACCCCAGGATGCTTCCACATAAGCTTCAGCTTTTCTGGCCTCGTGGTTCTTGAGAAGATTTTTAAAATTTTTTCCCTATATATTTCAATGTAAAATTGGATTCCCTATTGTGGCCCCGCCCTTCCCCCGGTGGTCATGATTTGAACAAATTACAATGTACACTACCCCAGGAAGCTTCCACATAAGTTCATTTTTTCTGGTCCAGTGGTTCTTGAGAAGAAGATTTTTAAATGTTTCCTATATATTTCAATGTAAAACTTGAATTCCTTATTGTGGCCTCTTCCTACCCCCTGGGTCATGATTTGAACAATTTAGAATCTACTTACCCCAGGATGCTTCAAAATACATGTATGTTTCATTCATTTGGGTCCAGTGGTTGTTTGGAAGAAGATTTTTCCGATATATTTCAATGAAAAACTTGGATTTCCTATTGTGGCCACTCCCTACCCCCGGGGTAATTATTTGAACAATTTAGAATCTACACTACCCCAGGATGCTTCAACATAATTTTCAGATTTTCTGGGCCAGTGGTTCTTGAGACCAAGATTTTTTAATGACCCACCTCATTTTTGTCTTTTCTTGATTATCCCCCCTTTGTCATAGAACTTTGCCCTTTTTTTAACAATTAACATTTCCCTTCACCTAAGAATGCTTTGTATCAAGTTTGGTAAAAATTAGCCCAGCGGCTTTTGAAATAAAGTTGAAAATTTGAAAAGTTTACAGATGGACGGACGGCCAGCTAGAAGGACGACGGACAAGGGTTATCAGAAATGCTCACTTGACCTTTCAGCTCAGGTCAGTTGAGCTAAAAAGGCTAGGATTACAGTGACGATCTCAAGTAATAAGGGTTGTTCGAAAAGTTCGTGGTCCTCTGTCCTAACTTTTTTTTTTATTTGACGTCATATGTTATTCAAATTTGGTAGAAATATTTTAATAATAAATTAAAATGATTTGTATTTTATTATTTTTTTTTAAAATATCATGATTTATTCAAAACTTATTCAGATTTAAAAACTGCAAAAATCAGCTCGCGGAGCAAGTCAACATTTAGAAAGTTACAAACAATACACTAAGTAATGTCTGCAATCATATTTTCTGTAAAATGGAGCAAAAACGAAAAACAACATAGAAATTCAAATTAAAAATTGAAACATCGATTAGTATTCCAAATGTTGGCTTGATATTTGCTTCGTTGAAAAGAAATCAACTTGAGAGAATAGGTACCCCGGCCCGTATTTAAAACGACAAAAACGATGACTTTAAGAACGTCACGGAGCAGCAGATAACGATGCAATTTTGTGTTTTACTAAGGAAAAATCCTAAATAAACTCTTAAAATGTTGGAGGAATATAAAAATATGTCAATAGTGAGTTGAACATGTGAATACAAATAGTACAGACTGTATTTCAGAGACAAAGACTCTGTATCGGATGAGGACAATCTGTGAAGAAACGGTTTCACTGTAAAATTCTGAACAAATCTTTTAAAAATTGGAACGTCAAGGAAAAACATAGGTGCTTCAGTGTTGCTTATCCCGTGAAAGCAGAATTAAGTAATAAAAGAAATCAAAACCTTAATAAAGGAAATTATACATTGAGAACAATTGTTAAAAAAAATAAATGTCAAGTATTAGAAAAAGATTTTTAATTGGTGGGCATTAACTAATGCTGTTTGAAATGTATAGGGATTGTATTTTATTAAAGAAATTTTTGACGCTATGTTTTGACGTTTCATTGCCGTTAAGTGTGCTTCGCGGGTACAAAATATGTTGATTTAAGGTGAAATAAATTGATTTCTGTTAAATTGAAGGAAATGAAACTCCAGACATCAACAGGTCCAGTCCAAAGACTATTTCTACCCACGTTGTTATCTATATCTACATATACTTAGGTATTTAAACCTACCCAAAGTATCTATTTTTACCTACTTACTCGCATTTTGTGGCCAAACGTAGGAACGGTGCAACATGGTGAGCACTGAATTTCTTCATACAGTCACACTGATTATGATTATGACAAAAATTGGCCAAAAAATGATTACTTCGTATATAATCATTTTTGCATAGAAACTAATGTAAAATTGCCACTTCAGGAAGTAATCATTTTTTGGCCAAAATTTTGTCGTATTCATCAACAGTGTGATTGTATCAAAAATATGGGATTTACCACGTTGTGTTGTTCAGTCTTTTGACCACAAAATGTAGATAATACAAAAAGTAGGTAAAATAGCTACTTTGTGTAGGTTTAAATACCTGCGTAGCTATTAATAGCTACGTAAGTAGAACTAGTCTTTGGACTGGACCTGATCAACAAAATAAATATATTTACATATAATATTGTACTTATTTTAAATTTTTAGTGAGTATCATAACTAAAATTGATACAATCCTCGAAATTTTTGAATAACCCTCTTACAAACAATCCAAATCTGTTAACAGGGACTTGAAAACCGACCCCCAGAAAATCCAGATGTTGGATCAAACGCATAGGAGGCATAATCAAATAAGTACCCTGTGATAAAACATAGTGTCCTTCTGTACATGATTATGTTTTGTTTGTTTGTTGTTTAATGTCACTCTAGAAAATTGTTCATCCAGGGTCATTGAACAGTGAGAGATCTTTTTCATGCCAACACCTACTGCGACACGGGACCTCAGTTTCTACGGTCTCATCCGAAGAACCGGTCTCTACGTCCCACAGTGGGATTCGAACCAAGGAAGTAAGGATCAACTCCTTACTCCGCGACTCTAGAGCAGACGCTCTTACCAATTCGCCACGCAAGTGACGTACATGATTTTGCCACCTGCTTTTAAAGTGAATTATGCATTAAGAATTGTTTGCGCACACATACTGTTTGATCTTTAGCAAATTCTAAAATAGGGACATACGTCATGCTTCAAAGATAAATGATGAAACTTCATTTTTACTAAATTTTAATTCAGTTATCTGCAGATTTAATGAACTATGTACTCCAACTGGTCTTCTGGACTAGTTTTGAAAGTAATCTCTTCCGAAAACTTTATAATTGATACGTTTTGGACAGTTGGTCCAACATATCTACCTTAAAACGACTATGTGCTTTTACCCAAAACGTACTTTTGATATATCCTACACAAACTGGATTTCTCTAAGCTTCATAAAAATCTTTACAAAGATACATTATGTACATTGCCAGGTCCAGAAAAATGCGCTGTCTTTTCTCCTTACAAAACCTTTTAACTCCTGAAAAAGTATGAATTTCAGACAAACTGTGCATAAGCATATTGTTAAGGTCATGTTAATTAGTAAATAACTAACTTCTCATTTGGTATTTACGACTGTTAATGCTGATTTAACGGTCGCAAAATGAGTTTTACCGGTGACGCGTAAGCGGAGCAGGTAAAACGAATGTTTGCGACTATTAAATCAGCATTAATGGTCGCAAATATTAAATTTGAAGACTAGTTATTCCCATTCTAATGCAATTTCTGCATTTTGTTTGTTGTTTATATACGTCTTATTTTTTGAGTTTTGTTACATGAAATTCATTAAGGAGCATTGTGTTTTGCGTCGCTCTTTTATTTTGTTGCAGTAGAAAGGTTCATTCTCGTTAATGCTCGTTGTACTGCTTCAAACATCAGTGCATTAGCCAATCAACTCGTTTTTTTCAAAACAGTTGCATTAGAATTTGATAGAGATTCTTAAAAACTTCAAAAGAACGTTTAGAAAATTAAAATAATCACATTTTTCAAAAGCCAATAATATTGAAATGTACGATTTAAAAACCGAACACAACCATCCCTGCGTATATTAAAACCTAGAATTTTTAATATCATACGCAACTGCATCTTATTAAGACATACAATTTCATATCTTTTTATTGGTCATCAAGAAAATGATTTTATTAAAACAAAATACTGATTCTACACCCAAGCACTCTGAAGTTAATATTGAAAGAACGCTGGAGTTCTTCAGTGACTACATAATATGTTATGTAGACTTTGGAGACCCTGTCTTCCAACAAATTGTTCAAATTTCGATGGGCAACTAAATTGTGTGAAATACTTTGTTACTTATTATCTTCACCTTTTCATTATATCTAAATTATCTTGGCATTTGATTTAAGAAGGACACTGCCGCATATTCAACAAGTACATTCCAACATTACCACCAGTTAAACGTTTTAAGCAAAAACAAACCTTTACTGTATTCTTCATGTATTGTCAGGATACCGTTACTATACACGCACACATTCACCAAGCTGAAACTCACAACTAAAAACCATTTTTGAAATGCATTCATTTTTTACTGTTTGATACATTTTAATTTTTTTTATTGTTTTAGTACGAAAGGTACTAGGTAACAGTTGAAATGATATGGCAAACAAATTCCATTTTCTTTGACAAAATGTAAAACATAATATTTTTTTATTAAAGGTATCTAGATCTGCTGCTGTGAATGAAAGACGGAATATATTACTGGGCGCACACCTAACATCATTGGATAAATTTCAAGGAAAAAAAACAATTCATTTTTTCTTTGAATGTTTAATATAAGATAA